AACTTGAAAAATATAGAATAAGCGAAACAAATAATAAAAGGTATTGTTGTACACTTTCGGCATACCTCAAATGCTTCCTCACGATCGTCCTCCTCAAGATAAATTGTCTTTGCATGTATGTCGAAAACACCCAATGGATGTTTCATAAAATATTTAAAAGTTTGATACCTTTCTTTCAATACCATGAATGTGGTATAACATTCCTTCAAAGTCAAATTCTGACCAATTTCATCCAGGCAAGTTCGGTATATTCTATCAAACACCATATATACGTCAAACTCCATGTTTAACCCTTCTAACTGGATGTAATGTAGAAGGATGGTACAAAATAATTCCTCATCTGGCTGAAGCCATTTGTTTGAGAAGCCCTCTCGTATATAGCGAAAATGTTCTTCTTTTGTATCTGGCAATGATAATCCCCACATGATTGTAAAGAACAAATAAATGAATATAATTTCGTTTTTCAGTGGTGATGCTTTGACAAATCAGGGAAATCCATGTATGTATATATATACCCAATTTTTTGGTGATAATGAAATTGGAAAAAAAAGTGGTGAACAACACTCTGCCATTGCCCATGCCTAGTCACGTGGTAGGAGAGTTTTTTGTGATCATTTTTTTTTTTTTAATTTTTGTTTCCCTATTTTTTAATTTTTCTTTTTTCCACATCAATCATCATATGCAGTACCTTGTATAATTATTATTGGTATAAAATATGTATATAATAATTATTTTGATACAAGAATTACAATTATCAATTCGAAAGCAAGAATTTATAATCACATTGATTATATGTAATTAATACATAATATCTACTTTTCCGTTAACACATAATAATTTTTAAACAAAAAAATGAGTTGTAATAAAAAAAATATACGCGAGACAATTTTATAAGTGCTACAATAATGATGAATTTTATAAGTGCTATAATAATTATAAGTGGTACAATAATGCTGAATTTTTGAAATTCATTACATCATGATGAATTTTATAAGTGCTACAATAATTAAGAACCCAATCACCACCAAATAACCATAAACACAAAATGGGCATGCATCTTCAAGGAGTGACGGTGTGACATTAGCACTGTTCGTCGGCACATGTGATGTGCTTGAGTAGTTGGACCCACAAGTGGTCTGACGGGTAGTTTGTGAATTGGACTCCGGATTATAATATGTTTGAGCAGTTTCCCTTTCAGAAAAAGAGCAATTACTATCGTTTTCCCATTTAAAGCTCCCTGGGTGTTTTATTCCTTCTGGGCACCGATAAAAATGCCTACCATAATTTTTTTCTGTTTTAGCCATAAAACGATACATCCGGCCACGTCCGCATGAACAAAAGGGTGGGTGAGAGACCATGATGAATTTTATGTTTTTTTTTTTAATAATGATGAATTGATGTGAATTTTCTGTTTGTAGAACACACCCCCTTTTATAGAACCCAAACAAATTTTTTTGTTTTGCCCTCACTATTTTTCCTCCAATGACTTTCCGCCAATAACTTCCACTTTCCCTCTTTTACAGCCACTTTTTGACAATTTCCCTGCTTTACATCTACTTTTTGACCGAGCAGGCACTCAAAAAAATGTGGAGACCTTCTTTACACAGCAAATGCCCACACCCTTTGCACATTTATGTGGAGACCTTCTTTACACGCTATTGCCCATACCCTGCTGCACATTGATAAACAAAAAAGTCTGCTCTCTTGCTGTCTTGCATGATGTACATAGCATGGGACAAAAAAAAAATGTGAACCTTATCACAATTACAGACGATACCACATGCATTGCCATACTTGAGCCAGTGTGGATAAGACCTATCATAAAAAAGTCTGTATGGTTTTTAAATGACATTTTTGTTTATTATGTATTAGTAAATGTATTTTTTATGGTAAATGATTTGTGTAATGTATTTTTTTATGCTAATTTTGTGCGTTTTATTTCTTGATGTATTATTATTTTATTTTGTATTTTTTAATATTAAAATAATACCATATGAATAAAAAATTTACACAACTCATTTTACTAATATTGCCTTACGTGAACTCAAACATGTTTAAATAAATGCTCGGAACTCCGAAATACTCGATAAATATCCCGCATGACAGCGTACCTAAACGATGTACACGTTCCAACTCGATTCTCGGTAAACCGAAGTCACACAAGACCTTACGTGACCCACGTAAAAAATTGATTTAAGTACACGAAAAATAAATTAATTTATTATTTTTTCATTTTTAAGTACACGAAAAAATTTTATTGTTATTGTATAATGTGTATTAGTAAATGTTTTTTGTATGGTAATAAATATTTTGTGTAATGTTATTTTTTATGCTAAATAATTTTGTGCTTTATATTTATTGATGTATTATAATTTCATTTTGTATTTTTTTAATATTAAAATGATACCATATGAATAAAAATTTACACAACGCATTTTATTCTGAAATACTCAATATTTGACCCGTATGACATCGTGTCTGAATGATCTATGCGTCCCAAGTCGATTCACGGTAAATCTAAGTCACACGCGACCCTGCGGGGCCCACGTAAACGGCTTTATTTCTTTCAAAAAATTTACATAGATAATATTTGTAAGTATAGCAAACTATTTGAAAGAAAAATAATAAAATAATTTTAAGTGGTAATAAATAATTTGTATTAATTTTATGTGAACTTCTACTTTTTTTTTTTCATATGTGTCGTAAAATGTTAAAATGAACTTGTACTTTTGAAGAAAAATATTAAAACATAAAACAATATAAAATACGCATTTTTGTAATGAATTTATTCATTTTATTTTACTAACCAAATTTAATTAGGAAACAAGACAAGGCATACTTGTGTCGAAAGTCTCGCAACAATATTAAAACCCATAATTGTTGTCTTTAAAATTTGGAATACACCAGTAATAAATAAAACATAGTAGCAACTACCGACGTCTGCCCCCTTGATCGGCCCATAAGGCGGAAGCAATGGAATCGCGCAAACCAGATTGTTCACGCACACCAACATTAGAGGTATCTAAAGTTGTCATCAAAGGCATTGTATGGTCATCTTCATCTGGTTCTGGTATGTAATCTGGGTTTAGAATGGCCGGCGGTACGTTCTCGAACTTTTGGTGCTCAAGGATGAAATTGTGTACAACACAACATGCGATAACTATGTCTGTTTGGAACTCAGTCGTGTAGTTTGGCATTAGGCCTTTTATAATGGGGAACTTACCTTTCAATATACCAAAGGTACGTTCAACCACATTACGAACAGTGGCATGACGTCTGTTAAAGAGCTCTCTCGCATTTTTAGGTGTTTGATTAGAGCGAATCCACTCCGGGAGATGGTACCTATCACCACGGTAAGGTGACAGGAATCCGGGGACATTGGCATAGGCTGAGTCGACCGCATAATATTTTCCTAATATTCAAAGTAGTTGTGTTAGTGAACCAATGTAGTAATATTATTTTCACTTCCCTATTAATATGTTTTTATTCTCTTAGTTACGAAAAGGGGAAGAAAAATAAACACATACCCTCTGGTGGCCACGGGAAAGTATTTGTGGGGTCTGTCAATGTTTCACCAAAAATATGAGCATCATTTTCACTGCCTTCCCATCCCGCTAAAACGTAAGTGAACCTACAATCAAAGTCGCACGCGACCATAACGTTTTGGGATAAGTGACCTTTTCGGCATCTGTATTTCCCATGATCTTCTTCCGGAATCCAAGCCGGTATGATGGTTCCGTCGATGGCACCGATGCAATCCTGAGGTAAGATAAAACATTTCATAAATTGTTGAGGTCATTCATGAAATACAATATGATAATGCGTTCTACCTTAAAGTATGGATATAGATATCGATTCTTTCGTATCCATTGAGGAACACGAGTAAAATCCGGAGGACGTATGTATTTGGGAGCCAGTGTGCGAAGAGCAGTGATCATGATATGTACATGATTACTAATCGTCTCTGTAGATCGCCGAAATGTCTCCGCAGCATGTCGATGTCTTTGGTGTCCTTTTATCGTATGCAAGAACATTGCAACACTTTCTTGGATGTGGATCTTTGTTGTATTGCATCACCATGACAACCCGCTTGTATTATATCTTTGCAAAGCAATTTGAAAACCTTCTTGTTCATACCCATTGCATCGTAGAATCTTCCATCGTGCCCCATGAGAAGTTCACTAATCCAGTCCTCCCCGTTGTACGTGGAATGCCTATACCGGATTCGTGTCATAGGTGGATTAAACTGAAATGCTTCATGAACATGCATAAGTTGTTGGCATTGAAACTCCAGCATATTAGCATATTGTTGCAAACGAGATAAATGAGACGGCTGAACAACAGCGTTGACATCTTCATCCATGTTGTCGTTTAATTGTCCACCGGTGTCAACTTCATCAATGTGCGACATCCTACAAATGGATAATTGATGGGAACTACTTTTCAAAATAAAATATTTTTTGAAAATGATAAAAACACAACATCAATGACCAAACTGAAATAACAAGTTAGATAATATGATGTAGAAACTATAATCAATGTCAGCACAAATGCATATATAAAAAAAA